ATTTTAGTTTGTCTAATCTGTTTTGTTTTTTCAAACTGCTGATAAATAGATATTTTCAAGTTGGGTTTTGAATATTAATATTGAACATAAGGCAGCTAAAAGGTAGTAAAATCTTGCAGGAGAATGGGAATTTTGCCTTTTATCTTCCTGTATTTTCATGTTTGACTAATAAAACAGTTGCTGACAAAATAATTTGAAGCTGTGTTTGTCAACGTAAGATCTAGTCAGTTATAATGCCACATAAATTTAGTGTTATTAGGTCAAAAGTTTGGTAGACCCCCACAACATGTACCATGTAAATCTAGTTGTTTGATTGGGAAAAAAAAAAACAAGTTAAGTTATGTTTCTGTAAGGGGGAGTTTAATTTTTTTTCTGACTTCAGTGGTTGATCTAAATGTTCTTGAATAAAAAAATCTTTAAAATGTTTGGTTGGTTTCCTTTTTATGTTATGCAAATGAAAATATATTTTAGTTTTCGCAGGAGCAATACCTATCTGTACCCGTTTATAGGAGAGGTAACATGGGTTGGGTTTGAGCAAGTAGGTATTAGTGTCATAAACGCATTATTTGATGCACTATGGTGTACAACAGTAACTGCAATGTGTGTGTGTGTTTTTTTATTTTTTATTTTATTTCCATGATTAAAATCTAAGCCTGAACTAATTCCACTAAGTGGAACTAAAATGATTACAGAATGCCTGTTAGAGAAAGGTTAAACAGATAGGCCTAAACTTGATTATTGAATTCATGAAGACTGCTGAAAAACATTTGAGAACATTTTTATATTCTAGCTTCGAAGCGCAGCATAAAACATCAGGAAATCACCCACTACTTGTCCAAACGCGTCAAACCTTGGGTTTGATTATGGTACTGTTGTCTTTCAGCAGGAAGTTTGTGGACAGGCATCTCCTAGATCTGTCCGGTACCTCTCATCCTGTGATGGGCTGTACAGGGTTCACTATACTCTCACCTGCTCACTACTGGATGTAGGCCTGGCCCTGGGATGTTAAGAGGGCAAAAAAAAAAAAAAGATGAAATTCAAGCATTGAATATTAAGGATTTTTTAAATATAGAAACTTGATTAATCCCAAATGAGAAAATCAAGTTCTCGGTAGATTACAGACATTGCACACAACAAGTGCTTGCAGCAGAAAAAAATTAAATAACAGTATTGTTTTAAAAGAGGACAAGCACTTAATAGCACCTAATAACAAGTGCTAGTTAATGATATTGTAATTATAACTGTTAAAGATTGGAGCTTTTATGGTGAAAACATAAAACACAAAAAGTCAGAGTTTGCGAGTTTTTTGACATTCTGAGTCTAAATCTCGCTCAATACCAGCAGGGGGCAGTGTCCCGCCAGCTAAAGCTGATGTTCTTTGTTTCCCTGTTGGCTTCTGCCAAGCTTGAAAGTCGGTCAATTATGACGCGTCTGTTGTTTGAAAACACTTCTTTGAAAAATCCTCAAGCAAATATAGTTTGACTTATTTTCCAAAAAATGTATGTTTTTCAATCAGGTAAAAGAAAAATTATTTGGATTCTTCTATTTTGAAAAATACCTTAAAAATTGAACCAAAGCAAGTTTTTTATTGCCATTTTATTAGTGTTGTTGCCAGATTATTAGAGCCCTACGCAGAGCCAGGGATTAAAAATCATGATAGGCGGAAGTATTCTAGGAAACATTTTACATTTTGTTAACACTTGTTTCAGATGTTAATGCTTAGTGCATCCTTCAAATGTGTTTATTATGTGCATTTCACATTTCATCATCCATTAGCGTCCTATAGGCCATTTAAGGAAAGTGTATAGTTGAGTATACTATATTGAAAATCAGATTGCCTCTAAAGTGTCCCCAAGAACATGTCAACAAAGGAAAATGTAGTCTATACTAGATCAAGACAATGTGTTTATATATTAAATGAGGAGTAGTTGGAGACATACATATTTCTTATCTACAGATTTAATTAAAGTTAAATAAGACAGATAGGTTAAAAAATGTTCCACCCAGAGGTTTGTATAAACATGCAGATTTCCCTCCTTCTGGATGGGAATATGGCAGCGGATAGCATTCGCTTGTATCATGTCTTTAACTTTGCAACTATCCGCACTGAGCATGCAAATATTAACAGTAGAGAGAAAACTACCCTTAAACAGGGAGAAACCTCCTGCAGTACCAGGAAATGTCCCAACCTGCAGAGATCCAGGTGGAAGTAACTGCTCCTCATCTACATTTCCAAAATCCTGCCATAAACAAAAAAAGGAAAGGAGAAAGAGAATGTGGAGAGAAAGCTAAAGCAAGTTCAAAATTCTGTTTTCGAAAGGTCATATAGAGACATATTAAATCTGTGGGGGAGGCTGGGTTCATCAAGTGACCCACAACAGATTGTTTTTAGCACACATTTAAAATGAACACTGGCTTATATTAACAGAAAACTCCATGTTGCATTAATCTGTGAGGATTATTTTATTCAGGAAGTGACAGTTTTTTTCTGCCATGGAGGCAGACATCTTTGCGCTACGGCAGCCCAGAGCCAACAAACTAGTGATTGCGAGTTCGCCAAAATGTCACAACGATGTAGAAAAAATAACGGGTATATTTATTATCTTAAGTCTACATGAAACCTATACCCTACACAGACTAATGAAATACTATCTGTAAAATTATCTATGTAAACAAACCTCATCACTTGAGAAGGTAGGTGATGCCGACGTCGTGGAAGACATTTTGTCCCGTAACGCTCGCCGTACTGTTGGTTGATTGCATCGACTCATTGATTCGAATGCAATCCCTCACACTAAGCATGCTTGTAGCGGCAGTGGAGAGGAAAAACTCCCTTTTAACAGGAGGAAACCTCCAGCAGAACCAGGCTCAGTGTGAGCGGCCATCTGCCGAGGCCGACTGGGGTTCAAGATGACATAAGCAGACAAACCAAAAGCAGCTGTAAAAGGCGGCCCCGTCCAGGAAACACACAGCCAGGGGATGTCAGAGGATAAAGAGAGCACATCCAGCCAGTCACAGTAAGAGAAACAGGACTACACTGATTACAACAAAGATTGATGTTTAAAAAGCTATTGTAGGAGACCAGCCAAGGAAAGTGGCAAAATTTTGAATGGCTACTACTGTAAGTAAATAAGGTTAACCAAATCTAGATCAACCAAAGAATGAGTATTTATGCTCTTAAGAATATGATAATTAGATGTTAGTGCTCAATTAACATAGTTTGGATAAGTTACTGGAGCTTTTGTTTATTTTAAAAGGAAATCATCTTATTCTATTGGCAAATTATCTAATTTACCGCTTCAAATTAAGACTAATACAATTATTTCAATGGACTCATTTCCAGGGGCGGAGCTAGATGGGGGGGCCAGGGATGGCCATGGCCACCCTTAGCCAATCAGTGGCAGCAGTAATACTTTCAATTGAAATATTAAAAATATTTTAATTTTTCATATATTAACAATTACTTGACAACAAAAACACTGTGGTTTGCACATCAATATACTAACATTAAAGATGATAAGTACAGAATTACTGCTCTTTCCATAACTAAATATTGTGTTTCATGGGGTAAAGAGAAAATGATGTCTCTGCAAGTCATCTAGGATTCTTCAGTGAAATCATAGATACATAAATATTTTAATAAAAACCTATTAATCAATTTATGTAGATATTAGCATTTGTAAATGTCAATTTTATCCAGAATATTTGTTGATAAAAGTAGTTAAGTAAAGACAATGTTAAAGATGTTCACCTCAGAACTCAAACCTGAAAGGATTTTATCCACTATACTTTCTATCTGGAAGCACAAATGTTTAAATATATGCATCTGTTTGTTAGCAAAGGCTGTAAGAAAGTATAGTTTGTCTTATTTAGAAAAAATAGGATGAAAAAATGGATGTCTTGCTCATTAATTCTCCTGCTGGAAGAGTGTAGATTGACCCTGAGGTTCTGGCACCACCCCTTAGTGTACACTGAGGCCCCGTCCACACAAAGTCAAAACGAACACGAAACGTTAATATTTTCCAGAACGTTTGTCGTAAAGACGGAGACGTAAAATAAATGTGATCGTCCACACAAATGCATGAAAACGCTGCAAAATGTATGCCAGGCCTGTAAGCGGCGCTGTCGTGCCAAAGCAAAAATAGGCGACGAAATGTTGGGCATGCACACTAATATTTATACATGGTTGCCCTGCGGGCCCATTTTCGTGGTTCAGTCAAATTCAGGTGCTGAACTATGTCGTCAATATTGCTCTGTTCTTCCTGGAGTTATTCCAGAAGAAGAAGATTCTGTTGTAAGCCCGACAGCAGGGTGAGTAGCATGCGCAGCAACCATTCAACACAATACGGCGCCATTGTTGTTGTGATACTGTGTCGCGCATGCGTGTTTAGAGGCGACGCTATGACGCATGCGTGTAAGAAAAAAAATGCGGTTAGAGCTTAAAGATGGAAACGCTAAAACAGCGTTTCAAAATCTTCCCCCTCTGAAGGCTTTTTTTGGTGAAAATTTTGTGCGTTTAGGCCAGGGTTTGACTTCGTGTGGACGGGGCCTGAGTATTTCCTGGCCACCCTAATAAACATTTTCTGGCTACGCCTCTGCTTATTTAATTTTTTCAGTCCTATTTGCAGTTTGCCAAAAACCACAGGAGACACAGATTGTGATGGCAGCAAGAGAGTTAAATCAGGGCCAAATGCTTGCAGCAAACATAAACTGCAAAATTCTACTTTTAAATTAATTCAGAAGAAAAATCTAAAATCGTAGATTTTTGGTTTCTAAAATTAAACCCGATTCTAAACAGAAACAGACACACTTATTTCATTAGAAACACAGACTCCATGTTTGCAGTATAATTCAGTCCGTTTTAACCCAAACACCCCGGAGCGCCTCCAGAGCAAATGTGCGGGTTCCTCCTCTACAGTATTTCACACAAAGACAAAATGTTCCTGAACGTGGAACCAACACTCTCCGTGGGGCTCTGCGTGGGTCCATATGAACAGTGGCATGTGTGCTCGCTGCCAGGGCCCCTCCCCTCTGCCACAGCAGGAACACGCGCCGCTGCAGACCGGCTTCCTATAAAGCCTGTTCACACTGTGCCCTGCTGCTGATCCGATTCCACAGCTCCCCCTGAACACCCGCCCTGTCCCCGGACAGCTGAAGGTAAGAGCTCAGTTTTAGATGGACAGGGTGGACAGTGGGACATGGGGGACAGTCTGCAGCTCCAGCAGTCCTCCTTTCTCTCTGAGCACAGAAAGTTTTACTGTTCCTCCTCAGAAACTGTTATGAAACTCTTGCTTGCTGTTATCTAAACAAATACAGCTCTATAAGTTTTAATTTTTCGCTTTTTACCAAGAAAATATATACATTTTTTATGTAGGTAGTTCATTCTTTTTTTTTTTTTTTTTTTTTTTTTTGTAGAAAGTTGTGTCCACAGCTGGATTTAATTAATCCAGATTATGATTAGGATGACGTAATCGGTGCGAGTTGCATCCAATATAAGCAGCATGTCTTTAAAACAGATGGGTGCTTATTTTCAGATATATCCGTTATCCCTGAAATCAGATTTTATTTATCTAAACTATTATTATTATTATTTTTACAGTAAAGCTTAATTAAAAGGAAATCATCTGTTTTTATTTTCCAAAACCAAGTTGAGCAAGAAAGGCTTTTTTTCCCTCCTTCTTTTTAATTATTTCTCAATTCATCCAAAAAAGGATTATAATCTGAGAAATGATTATACAAGTTAAATTTTTTATGTGCAAGATCTCTTTAAACTTTAAAACCCTTTAGTCATAATTTGCTGTAATTTGAGCACCTTTTTCACTTAAAGCTTTTCAACAGCATTTTTTTAGGAAGTTTTATGAGTTTTGCATTTCTCTGTTATGTACAGAGTGTACCCTTCCAGTGTAGGAACTATGGCTGGTTTGTTGTGGGGCAATTTCTTGGAAGTTTTACATGCTTGAGTTCAAACTAAAACTGTGTGCTTAAATGAAGTGTAAGTTTTTGTCATTTAAATGCATATTTAAAGTGACATAATAAATATAGTAAATCTCTCTGTTTAAAGCTTTCCTGTAATTTCATCACAGGCTTGATTTAGGAAGGTTAAGAACGTGTGTATATATATATATATATATATATATATATATATATATATATAGCTTGTTTCCACTTTAGAATGATTTAAGAGCGACTTAAAACATTTTTAACAGTTGGGGCAAGAAATAAAGTTTTTTTTATTTATCTTTTGTGTTTTACATTCCTTAACTCTGCTGAAATATGCTGCTACAATCTGTATTTTTATGATCCAGTAAACTTTAGTAGTAACCAAGTTTCCAGGTCTGATTGCATACTGGATCTCTGCTTTAGTTTCCCTCAAACATTGTGTTTTAAAGCATTAACAGAAGCGGAAAGCTATTTCATTTTAGCTGTTTTCCTTTGAGGCAATTGAATGTCTTGTTTGTTGCTGTCCAAATGACTTAGATTAAATGCAGCGTGTTTCTAAATATTTGTGGTTCTAAGGGTGTGACTGCATAGCATACTTTCCTTTTTTTTTTCTAGTGGAGCTTGGATTTAATTAGATTGGTATTTAAATGGACATGAACAGGTATGATCCGTGTCTTAGTCACCAGAGGATCACTTCACAGGACATTGCACTCATTGACAAATCGACTCGACATGAAGGGGCAACAATGGTGGCATGCCATTGTCATGACTGTGCAGGACAGTCAGTGTGCGCGCTGCTCCCATGGCGAGACAGGCAGATTAACAGTGCTGATGTTCCACTGAGGCTCTTTGTGCAGCAGGAGGTTTATTTAGTTGGTCAATGGTCCTGCTACGGTTGCAGATGGGTCCATCTTTCACATGGCTGCTCGCTGCAGGGGGCTGGATAGAGACACACAGAGGTGGGGCCAAGACAGGAAGAAAAGCCTGATGGTCGTATTTTATTGGTTGTTTGGCGGAAAGTACAGTGTGTATATATGAGTCGAATGTTTGGGCACCTATAGCTTTGAAAGAAAGGCTTTCAAAGCTCCCTCTTCAGGGCTTTGACAGATATTATTTTCCCTCAAATTCTTCTATAATTTAAACATATGTTTGCTTCTAGGTCAGATGTTTTACCTCCACAGCAGTAACGGTGCAGTTACCTGCTTTGCAGCAGGTCTCTGCCTGGATTTGTGTGACACTGCCACAGGTGATGAACCAGTGGGTGCATCACTTGTGGTAGTCCCCAACCACAACATGAATAGTTCTCAGATGATTCACCTGGATCCTTGCCAACACACCAACTTGACCACTCCCTAACACTCATTCAGCTTCACCTCTCACACAAAATCCTTGATGTCCTTGCTTTGAATAGCTTACATATTTAAAAAGCCGGTGAAAACATTCAGAATATTTGATCCAGTGAAGTGATAGAAAAGGTTATGGCAGTTTAGTTGTAGATATTTCCGGTGTAATTAGCACTTGAGCCTGTTCTTAAACATGACTAACTCTATTCATTTTTAAAAAGCAGTCATAAATCAGTTACATTACAGTAATTTAGGCACCTGTTGTAATATCTTATAAATCAGGTTATCATTTGACAATAAAAAAAAAAAAGTACGTTGAGATTTTAGTTGACATCAACAGAGTTCTGGAGCCCTTGAGGTAATAAATGACTAACAAAAGAATCCTGTTTTTCTTATCCTTTCATATTTCAGTAACAGGATGAATATTAAAACTTAATTAATGAATAAAAAAAACACCCTTTATGGTTTACCTGCATTCAAACAAGGTTACTAAATAAAAAAATAAAAAAAGTTACTCTTTTAATTTTTTTTTGTCAAATAAATGCAAGATTTTACAAACTGTAATTTCTATACACTTTGTTGTACAGTAAACTCAGGCGGTTAGGTAATGAATAAGTACTATTGAGGACCAACCTGCTGACATTTAAAAAAAAAAATCTGATTTTTTTATTTTGCCAACATAAGCAACATGGCACTCCTTGTGTTTTTAATATTTCCTTGTTGGGTAATTTTGCTCCCCAGCTTCAGGGCAAACATAATCCTTACAATAATCCCAGTTGTAATGCGTATTTTTTTGCTCTTTTGATTATGTTTAAGTGAAATATTCTACATATTTAAATGGGCTTCTACAGCAGAACTTGTTTTTATTAGAGTCACTTTATTATTAGTCTTTTAATCTGAAAATGCTCCCTACATTAACAGAGATCACATTTGGTCTGTAAACTATACCCAGGCTTTTGGCATAAATAAATAAAATAAAATAAGCAGATTTAACTTTCAACAGAAATTTATGCTGCTTTCATAATACTTATTGCCCATCTTACATCTCTTATTTGTAATAAACATTGAGGGAAAAACTGGAGTTGTTGTAAAATATATTGAAATTCTGAGATATTTCTCATTGGGAATAGTTTAAGTGTTTTTATTCAAAAAAAAAAAAAAAAAGTGAAAAGACCGTTGAAGCTGACCATCAGCACCAATTCACACCCGTTTGTAAGGAATTACACTTTATGAACATATCATAGTTCTATGTCTGCATTTAAAATATTGGATCTGGACATTTAGAGTCCCAGTCAAGATATCTCAAGACAACTGGAACCAAGAATAGTAGTTTGTTTTCCGCCTCTCGCCCATTGACTGCTGGAGATAGGCACCAGCACCCCTCGCGACCCCACTCGGGACAAGCGTGTAAAGAAAATGGATGGATGGATGTTTTAGTGCCAAGATGTTAAATCTTTAAAAGTTCCTTCTGTGAGAACCGGAGCAATGATTGAGGTTGCAAATACTTGCAAATGAGCGTTTTCTGTAATGCCATCAACTGTTCCAACTTCCAAGTTCACCAAATTCCCTTTTCTTCATTCACAATCTTTGGTTGTTCTTCTGTTTGCCATCATCGCTGCACCAAGATGCTTAAATGCATTCAGCTGCTGGAAAGGGATTTGCTGATTTATTACCATGCAATTAGTTGGTGATCCCGATAGAGCGTCCAGTGGATTTGTTTGTTTTGGATGTAGACATGATGGGCGTTGCATCACTTACATCTCAAAGGCAGTGCTTCATTAACATGCTACTCTTTTCTTGTTGTTTGCTCACCAGATGATTTAGTGTTTAGGTAAGGTGTGATTATTATTTTTTTCAATACCTCATAAATTTTTATACAGAGCTTATCAGTGCTAAAACTAAGTGTTTTGTGTGAGCTGCATGACGTCAGATCTACAGGGTGTAGGACCAGATTCATGCCTCTTGCACTGGAGCTCAGGTTACATGGCATTAAGGGCAGCTTTGACTCTTTTGAACTAGTCTCTCACTGAAGAGGAAATGCTATGGAATTGACAACATGATTGGGGAAAAAAAATAGATGTTAAATTTTAATAAATCTGATGGGGTTTTTTTCCAGCATTTTATCCACTTTTTGATGGCTGTTTGGTAAACTAGAGTTCTGACCTATACAGAGATTAAAAGTGCTTATCGTGCCGGTTATATAACCCCATACACTGAAAATGCACCTTTTTCTTTCCATTTATTTCCCTTGTTCTACCTGAATGAGCATATTGTATCGGACTGTTTTATTTTGGAAGGAGGCGGTAGGCATGTGTTTTTGGAAAACGACTCACTGAGAGTAATGAATTTGGACAGCGGTTTGTGTGTGTGTGTGTGTGTGTGTTGCAGAAGTGGGCGTGTGTCGCAGTGGAGCCTGAAGATCTGGTTGGGTGAGAGCTGGGCTGTATATAAGGTGGAGAGCAGAGCAGAGGCTCGCTCTCTGGTTCAGGTTCATCCCTGTTTGGCATCTGTTGGGACTTTTTCTGCTATTTTTTTCCCTGTTTTTGGAAGCAGAAGATCCCACTGTTCCAACTGGTGGGATCTTTCTTTTAGTTTTTGCAGACGGTGAGAAATCATTCAGTTTTCATCGTTGGCTCTTGACTCGAGGAGCATCTTTTCAAAGCTTGGAATATCTACTTTTATTTTTTTTAGCAATAAGGGGTGTTACTCCACAGGTTGGCGTGTTATTCTTTCATACATTATAAGTTCTCTTGAGTCATTCAGCTTCCTTTTATGTGGATCGTGCATCCCAGGTTTCACATAACCTTCCAATGTCTGTACAAACAAGCCATCGTAGATTATTGGGTTTATATCTATCACCCCAACACCCTTGTTCCCCCCCACCCTAATTTCTCGGACCTAATTTCAAATCTTAAAATTTGCTCCTCGAACATTGTTGGATCAAAGGAAGCAAGACAAAGGGATGATTTTCAGTCCATTTCAACCGCCGCCGTCCAGCCATTTTAAAGACAAACAAAGCTTTATCACAAATATTTTAATTGTATTCATCTTAATTCATGAAGATTACTTTAGTTCAGTAGTGTCACTTCATGACGCAGCATAAATACAGGCTCTGTTGCTCTGACCCAGATCTTGTTCAAATATGATGATTTAATTACTCTAAACTGAGGGGAGGGCATTGAGTGGTGGATTAGTTGACTTCCCGACTTTGGAAGTGCAAAATGAAGATTTTTTTTTTTTTTTGAAGAGGGACAAAATTATAAAGAATTCCAGATGATATCTGCAGAGGAGCGATCAAACATGTTCTGCACACGTGTGCAGTTTTGTGCAATGGCTCCAGGCGAAAGATGTTCTTTCCTGATGCTTTAGTTTATTGGCACGTTAACGCAAAGGAGTGTTTTCTATTTTGACAAGGATATGACTTTAAAGTTGAATTTCTTTGTTTTTTTCCTATAAATTCCACCAGCTATATTTAAGCTATTGATCTTTTTTTAATTATAGGTTTTGAACCATCCCAGAGGATCCCTGATCCATCATTTCAGAAACATGATCATCAGACTGGGCAGGCTTACACCTGGATACTTCCGCCTTCTTCAGGTATTTAGCCTTAACAATAACCAGGTGCTAGTATATGAGTCTCACAGCTTGACAACCTTGACTGAAAACACAGTTTTTCTGCGTTATTGCACTAATATAAATATTGAAAATGTTCAAAATGATCCTAGTGTTTAATGTTGAATAAGCAGCGTATTGATTGTAACACTTTAAATTTCGATTCATGGGCTTGAGCGAAAATAGAGATTGTTGTTTAATAAGCCGATTAAAGTGGGGTATTGTTCGGTTGGCACATTTCCACATTTGTGGTAGCTTCTTACTAACACACATGCTGACTGTAGTCCGACCAAGTGAAGTTTTATACGTTGATAAGACTGATGCAAAACACGTTAGTTCTTTCCACTGTTTTATTGCAATCAGGAACAACTGCAGGTTGTTTTTTCTTTCTGTAAACCAGAATGCACTCTGTAGCTCTCTTTGAGCCAGCTAATGTGCAGTGTGCAGCAACGGGTGGGCAAGGTCATAGCACTTGTGCAGTTCTTCGAGTCATGATCTTCTATAAAAAACATTCAATTCGGTTTATTAATAAAGAACCAATTTACATAGCATGCCATCTAAATAAAGGCACTTTACAGAAACAGATTATAACATAACTGGGGGGGAGTACTAATCATTTCTATATCCTTTGTTCCTCCTAATCCTCCATGAGGAGAAGTATATGTCTCATTCATTGTGCAGAACTCTTGCTTCCGTCATTTCTCCTTTATTCAATAACAAAGAGCGTCTCTCGGATGAATTAAACCAAGCAGAGGAGTTACTGGCTATCAATCTGTTTATGACCCTGCAGTGAGATTATAATAATTTTTCTAATGTGAAGACTGGTTGTTAGTTTAATAATTTTACAGATTATACGGTTCACTGAGTGCTTTGTTCATTAGGCTTTCAGATCAGTTTACATGGAGAACTTGAAAAGACTAAACTTAGAATTATGGCAATATTTACCTAAAACTATGTTTTTACTAGCAAATAAGAATTATAGAAATATAAGCTGTTTGTAACAAAAACAGTCCAGCCTAATGAAATGGATAGATCTGCTGTTCTTTGTGACTGTGAATAATTTAAATAATAAATGACCTCACAGTGTCTCTCAGTTTAGAAATCTGAAATGCCTGATCTTTATAAAGCAAAGGGATTGGCTGTTCATGGGATAAAATTGTAGAGAATGTATATATATATTTACATACACATCTGTGTATGTGTGTTTTTTGTTTTTTTTTCTTCCCTTTTTCCCGTTCTTGATTTTACATTGATATTTTTCTTCCCACACAGGACACGGGTCCCCTTTGATTAAAATGTTTACCAAATATTTAATGGCTGTTCCTGCTTGGTCACATGGGGAAGAGGTCTAAAATGGCTCTCTTAAAATTTTCAAAAGGGAACTTGAATTGAAACCATCAATAATTTTAGACATTGATTAATCTAGTATTTTCTTTTTCAATCACTTCTTCTTAATGAACATAAACCAATAAACTGAATAAATGCTTGAAATGCTACTTTAGTAAAATATCAGCTTAATATTTTAAGCTGACTAACTGAAGATTTCTGAATTTGAGATTCGGCTGTAACACCACGAATCATTTCCATGTCCAACAAGTAAGATTATAAGGGTATAGTGGACGATGTTCAGTTTCTGGGTGGATCATCAAAATACGTGGTCCTCCTAACTGTCAATCATGCTGGTGATATGTTTACGTAAGGCCGTCCTACGTGCTCATCACCTTATTTTCGCTTACCGGTGGTGATTCTAACATAGTGGAAAAATTGCTAATCTTCTTTTGGAAGGTAAGCTTGTATGAGTGATGCAAACAGCAACTTTTAAAAGGAGCGTGCACGAGGCGTTTAAGAGGCGTGTCCTCTCGGGAGCAGGTACAGGGTTGTGCATGTGCATTTTTTTTTTTTTTCTTCAAAGAAGACGGGGCAGGTCTTTTCAAAAATTCGTAAAAATCCTCCACTATACCTTTAATGAACCTTGACCTTTGTCTCCTTCTCTTTCTGTGTCTCCAGAGGCAGGTGGCTGGTGAGGTCCAGACGCAGTCACACGACCGCACCGTCAACCAGATCGCCATGATGCTGGCCATCATGGGTCTTAGTTTGTCTTATTACAGCGCCAAACAGATGACTGAGAAGGTCCACGTCCAGCCGGCACCCTGAAGAGACGCGGTCGCTCCACAGTCTTGAGATGACGGATGAACCAATGACAACTGGAGGAGACCACAGAGGTGGAGGCAGGAAGCGAGATGTGGCGGTGTGTCTCTGGACAGCACTTTTCTCACCTCAGTCTTTGATCTCACCCATCCACTGATTCCCTGGGATCCTCCACACATAAGTGGCAGAGCTTTATAGGGTTTATCATAAAGAAATAATTTTCAAACTTATTCTTGCCAGAACTTTTGGCGATTTTTAAGGGGATATGCTTATTGGGGGTCACAGGGAGAACTGGTTTGGGTTTTTGGTAACCAGTTTACTGCCAAATGGGTCTGAGAATTAGTCATAGCGAAGGTGCATGCTTACATGATGCCATCAGTTCTATAAAAGGGAGAATAAACTTCACTGTGAAACATGATTTGTCCAAAAAGGGTTATTTTCTGAATTCTCCTTTTTAAGGGAGGGCTGACTGAGCTGTTCCTCCTAATGAAGTGATGGCAGACCCAAAGCATGGTTAAAAGAGGATGAAATGATACCTTTTTAATACCTTAATATTTTTTTTATATATATTTTTCCCTTCAGAATCTTTTAGAGCCTTCTGACCAGATCAGAAACTGATCTGTCTGTATATATGAGCTGTTTCTGTCAGTGAATATTTGCACAACACTATCGAAACCTTTTAAAATGCTGAAGTGGATAGGGACTCTGAACTACTCTCTGTATTAATGCGTAATTTCATCGTTTAACAAATCACAAAGTTGTCTCTGTGTGACTTTGTTCTTAAGAGTCTTCCTTGCAGGATCTTCCAATGTTAATGCAATCATGTACCTTTAGTAGAATGGCATGTATGTGTAGAAATCTTATCATTGCAATCTTCACAAGTCTTGTTTTTTTTTTTTATTGATGAATGAATGTAACACTTTGGTTTGTAATGATTTAATAAAGCTGTGACTATTTTAAAAGATTTCAAGCGGATGTTTGATAATTTTTTTTATCTAAAGTGGGATGGTGGAGTCTCGAGGTTGGCACATTGAGCTGCAACGTGACATTGTTTCCTGCATCTATGAATCTGTGGTGTCATCTGCACGCAACAGGATGTGGTGCGCTTGATTCGCGTGTTAAGGATTCTAAGTGAGACTGCATTTTTATTATCCTACTGGTGCCTGGTTTGCAAGTGCAAGCATACGTTTATAGGGCAATTAGTAAATGGGGTTTTTGCAGAGAATATAACATGTTAGGTTGTATAAGAACACCAAAATAGAAGGCAGATCTGCTTGTTTTTGTTTTGATTTCATGGTAGATTTTTTTTTTTTTTTTTTTTTGAAAACTTCATGATTATTACCAAAACCTCCAACTCATGCAAAGAAATTCAACTGAGATTTGCAGCAAATATTCTGCATGTTCTCCTCTTTCTCTTGCAGGGCGTGGAGTTTTACAGTGTTTGCATGACTGCTCGAGGCTGATGTGATGCTCTGTGACACTCTGAGTTCTCTTTGGGTGCCACGTGACCCCCTATCCCTCTGCCCATGCCACAAGCCCCTCCCTGTCGCTTTCTATCTCTCATGTAACTGGGTAAAAATCTTACTTTGCCATCTACGTGATGCTAGCATGAGGACACAAGACCAAAGGAAGAGCGATCATTGGTTGACCACTGATGCGTCACAATAATCGCCCTGGTTCTGAGCCGGAGAGACAAAGGGATGCGGATAAGGTCATTGGTGTGGAGAGTGGGTACAACGAGCATTTTGATTTTTAAAACTTTTCTATTTAGTGTCCCTATATTTGCAAAACATAGAAAACCTCTCAGAGTAGGACATTTCTGTACATCTTTGAAAAGCAGACCAAGGTTTGACTGAATAGTTTGGTGAATTGAAGCCCCCAAACGACTGAAACCAGACTGAAAAGCTGCTGCTGCTGAATAAATATTTAGTGACGTTAGTTGATGAACATGTCGAACAAATTCGCAGTTAGCCCCAACAAACTGAGGGTTACTCTATTTGGAATTGGAATTTCTTTGTTACAGTCAAATTAATTGTATTCATAATGAGTAAAATGTTTATGAATTACTTTTGTATCAAGAGGTACTGAATAATTTGATTTGTTACTGATTTAAAAAATAAAGACTGTCATTTATCCCTCCGAGTATCTGTGTTTCTAATCACATTTATTGGCAAACAAGCCTAATCTCAGGTAAAACCTTGTAGCATAAATTCCCTTTTGGAGTATTTATATGTGACAGTGTGGGATTCTGTCACTCTGATTTAAATCCCGCCCCGGGCCCTCTGTTGTGTAACTTGCCACATTTATAAACCCTCTTTTATTATCTGTTGATAGAAAAATACGATTTATTTAGCGTCAGTGCTCAACATGATTTGGTTTTTAGACACTGATCTCAAATTGTGGTTATAAGGACCTGGTGACCTCTAGATACGAAATTTAGATGAATTTCTCCAACTGAGCACATCTATCTGCCTTACTTTAGTTCTGTGTTCTCTTATCTTACCCATTTTGATAAGTGTTTGAAATAAAAGGTTGTCTCTGATATGCCATGTTTATACCCCATGGAAATTGAAAGGCAAGGATAACTAAAATTACTAGAAAAGTGGAGTATTAATCGTCCATTTCGGGCATTTTTTTATTATGAAAACACATATTTGCTGTGAGATGTGCGTTGACCTTACCAGGTCACATTGTAACATGCCCTGCTGGAGTCATGCTGAGAAGATGGTAGTGTGCACGTGCCAGGCTGGGGCATGTTGCTGGTTGGGTTTGGGGGCGGGGGTTGGGGGGGGATGGGTCATTTTGGGTAAGTTTTCATATGGGGAGACGCTGCTGTGGCGGTCATCACACATGCAGACTGCAGAGAACACAGTGTCTCTCAGATCCTAGACATTCCCGCCCTGCGGCACATCAACAACCAGATTTCCTTCACTAAAAACCAAACTAATAGCTAACAGACAGATATTGAAAATAATCTTCACTTTACTTTATAATGTTGCCTTTTTATTAAAAATAAACAAAGATGTTTCTGAAATGTCAGTGTGGTGGAGCACTTAATCTGTTTTTTTTCTCCCTCTGGCTTTCCTTTTGCCTGGATTAACCGCAAAGCTGCTTATCTCTGAATCTAAGAGCATTTTTGTCCCAACAGAGAGTTAGGGTTAGGGTTTTTTCCCTCATAATGACTTTTTGATGATGTCATCCAGCCTCATCTAAATAAATAATTATTGGATAAATCAACCAGGCTTAGAATTAGAGCAGGATATGTGAAAATGTGTATAATGTATTAGACCAATATAGTATAGTATACTATATATAGTATGGTGGAGGATGTTGGTGAAATGTGACTTGGGTCTTCTTGGGAAATGTCTTTCTTTCAAAGGCTTCTGAAAGCTTTGTTTAAAGGGGTCGTAGAATGACTCTATAGGGTATTTGGTCCTTAAGGTCTCTGAATAGGGTGTTTAAAGGCTAAACAGCTAACCTGGTGTCTTACATCTACCTCTATTCTTTCTCTCAGGCCGTGAACCAGCGGGCTGGTCTGTATGTCAATTTCGGGGCTTGACAAAAGTACAGGCCAGAACCAAATAAGGCAACATCCCCAAATTGACGTCAATTTGGGGCTTCGTTTGGATTCGCTGTTTTATGGTGGAAGTTTAGAATTGTGAGATTTGCAGAGAAAGGAGGTGTTGATGGGGTTTGAACTTCTCTGTATGTCCATTTCACCCACTGAACTATCTTTATTCATCTATGACAATGTGACCTTGGTTTTCCATTTTATGACCCCATTTAAGAGAATGGCATAAGGACTTCTCAAACTACAAAGTCTATATAAGTAACTTCTGCCAAAAAAATGAAACTTGGTTGCCAGTGGCTATAAACTGTTAACAAAATGACTTCTTCTTCGTTTTTATGTACTATATATTTTGCAGATCAGAGGTTGAGTGATGTCGTCTTCTTCTGCTTATCCAGGACTGGGTCACAGGGTCAGCAGAGACTCCCAGATCTCCCTCTGCCCAGACACCTTCTCCAGCACTGCTGAGGAAAGCTTGAGGCGCTACCAGGCCAACCCAGAGCCATAGTCCCTCCAGGGTGTCCTGGTTCATCCCCTGGTATTCCTCCCGATGGAACGTGCCGGGAACACCTCCTGAGGGAAGCTTCCTGGGAACATCTGATTACGATTTCCCAGCCACCTCTGGTTCTCCTCTCAATGTGGAGGAGAAGTGGCTCTATGAGTCTCTCCTGGAAGGCATAGCTCCTCACTCTATCTTTAAAGCTACAGTGTGTAATAATTACAGGGATATACAGTCAGAAATGTAATATATTATACATAACTATGTTATTTATCATCATCTACGAGCTCAGCCTCTTAACCTTAATATTTGTGTTGCGTTAGAATTCGTTATTTATAATAACTTAGGAGCGGGTCTCGCAGCCATGGAGGCAGACATCTTTGCGCTATGGCAGCGCAGAGCCAACAAACTAGCGATTGCGAGATCGCCCATTACGCTCGAAAGTAACTACGGCAAGTTGAGAGAGATGAACTGAGACGGTACTGAACAATAGATGGCAGTATTATGCCTGAGAATACTATCTGTAAAATTATCTATGTAAACAAACCTCATCACTTGAGAAGGTAGGTGATGCGGACGTCGTGGAAGACATTTTGTCCCGTAACGCTCGCCGTACTGTTGGGGGGGAGAAGCGGTGGGGGGGAGATGTTCATGTTGCTGCGGTCTGCAGTCTGGACATTAGATGTCGCTAAAAATTACACACTGTAGCTTTAAGGGAGATTTACCCTTTAGAGAAAACTCATTTCAACCACTTGTGTCCAGGATACCATACTTTAGGACATAATCCGGATTGAATAACCATAGTGAGGGTAGAAATGTAGACAGACATGTAGATTAAGAGCTTGGCTTCGTTGCTCAGCTCTCTCTGGCCCGTAGGCCGAGGCAGCAGACAAAGACCTCTCCCCTACCCTTCTGGGGTTAAAATCCAACTGAGCGAGGGGGAGAGACGACAGTCCAGCGTCTCTCAAGCAGCTGGTTTCAGAGCCCTGATTTCGGGATGAAATAGCTCCACCATTGGAGTGCTGTTTTTCTTAATTTTTTATTTTTTTTCCTGTAGGTGTCGTCTTATGAAGTTCAGGTCTCATGTCGCAGATGGATGCCTACGCCAGAACAGTTTAAGTTGATATAACTGAATCTAGATTCATTCCAGGATATTATAGTATTGATGTGACCTACCCATAGGAAGTTTAATAATAATGATTTCTAAAGTTTGTTTGAAAGCTTCAGAGGTTGTTTAAGCTGAGTTTCATCTCCATGAAATCATTTCTTCTTTTTGGTCTGGCATATAATTACTTCCCATTTATTGTTTCCCTCTTAACATTAATGGTCTTAGTATAAAACAGTAACATGTTAACAATTTAATGATGACAAATAGATCAAACGCTGTATGTTTAAAATATCTTGAAACAAAAAAAAATAAAAACAGCTTTTACATTTGTTTCCGATTGAGTAAATAAACATTTGAGCAGGTTCAACAAACAGCATAGCATCAAATGGGAAAGCTCTTCCTGGATGTTTAAACTCTCGTTTTGAAGGCATTCAGTCAGATTCAGACAGCTCCTTTTGTTAATTGCGATCCACTTCCTGATGTTGTTGTTTTAATCCCCTCATGGTTTTGATGGGCACAGCTTTCATTCAGCCACTGTACAAACAGAGCTCAGACTCTGATTTCCTGACTCGACTGCTTGGGAATGCTTTAAAAACACCAGCGGCTGTGGGAGCCAGAGCTGGAAATAGACAGTGGTCTGGGAATTATAGGCTCTCACTCTTTGCTATTTAATTTCTCTTTTGTCCCCCACAAAGAATTAAGTCTGTCATTAAAAGTTTTAGAAAATGTTACTTAAAATGTTACTTAATCGTTTCATAATTTGAAAAGCCAAGATTTAAACTTAACTTGTAA